GATAGATGGAGTGGATGAAGGAAGATTACACCAAACCGTAAAATAGTCTGTTTAGGGATAAAACTGGAAAGACTGACTAAAATGGAGGAAGGGCCTTGGTCAAGCTAGATCTTGAAAGTAGACATTCCTGTCAAAGCCAGTTCCTCCCACCAACATGGTTGCTGGTGGAGGGGAGCTGTCATAGAGGCCGAAAAGGCTCTATGTTGCCCACCCTTGCTATATATCTTGACTCAAAACTAGTTCCTGTAAAGATTGGGGAAGAGGATCCTGACTCTCTCCCCCTCAGATGTTCAAAATCCCATGAGTGTATAGAACTGCCACTAATTAAATGAAATACTTCAGTAGTTTGATGAATATAGCCACTTGTATTTAACTTTGCTGTTCTTCTTAATTTTTTAGAGCCAAGCTAAAGCGGCAGAGTTTTCTCTTGCCTGGGATTGCATTTCTCTCCTTTTGTAATGAAGATGGATATGGAAGTTATTTTTATTGTAAACTAATTGCAGCCTTGACACATGCTGACAGAGGCTGAGGCTCAGCCATCTTTCAGTGTCAGGACCTGCTGAAGAGACTGCTAGCAATTAACTACTGGAGTACAGGTGGGATAGATTTGGGGAATGGAGGCGAACCTCAAGCAAATTCCCCTCACTCAGGAAAAAAGAAAAAGAAACGGTTGTCGGTCCCAATGTGGTTTGAAAAAAAAATCTGTAGCATTGCTTTATTGACTTTTAAGATGGTTTTTTGGAGAGACATCAACTGATAATTTCCAGTATGAATTGCGGCGCTGTTAATGTTTCACGGTGGGCATATGTGTACAATTGTTGAGTCTCATCCCAAGTCTGTGACCTAGTAGGGGGCTCAGTGCGAACTCCCAAACCCTTCTGACTATGCCATTCCACCTCTTTGATGCTGCTGTCCATTTGACTCCCCACTTCAAGTGAGTGAGCAGTGGCAAGAGCTGAGCAAGCATCTTCTCAGCTTGTCCTCTCCCTCTTGGCATGGGGGGGATATTGGGGCTGGAATGGCATGGTTCTGTTCATTCTGTTGGATTTCCATGAGCTTTCAGCAGCATTGAGTCTAGTATTCTTGTGGAATTCTTGGCTACAATGGAATTTAAGCAACTAAATCACAATTTTATGGTGGATCCAGCTCTTCTTGTATGGGTACATTCAAGAAAGTTGTGTTTGGGGGCTCCTGTTTTCCAGTGATCTAACACAGCCTCTTAGGACTCTGCCTTGCATCCTGTGCTTTATAATATCCACATGAAACCACTGTAATATATACATTCAAGTTCTAAATTATCATCTGACGTGGGCAGTGGACTGGATGAGGGCAAACCATTCGCTGTTTAATCTGAATAAGACCAAAATGTTCCTGATCAGTAGACCAAATCAGCAGATATAGATCGGAAAATAAATGCTCTTCCATCTGTCTTGGGTGAGATTGTATTGAAGTCTCATTCTTCAGTTTGGGTGTATTCCTGGAATCAGCCTGAACTTTCATGTCCAGCTTTTGCCAGTGGCTGGGAATATTTGGAGATGACTAGGAGCACATATTTGTGTCACATTAGCATCTGAACCATATTTGTTGGGAACTTGAGTGTCTTCTTAGCGCTGGCCCCTAAACTCTGGAATTCCTTGCCAAGGGAGGCCCATATAGCTATTTAGCATTGGACTGCTTCTAGCTGCCTTGAGCCCTGTTTGCTAGGAAGGCTGGACACAAATCTAATGAACAGTTTCATCCTTATAACATATTGATGTAATGATTGAGGAGAAGGGGCCTCCATGAAATGCGTCTGGAATTCACAAGTGAACAAGTTCAAAGGTTTCTACTGTGTTGGCTACCAACACAGTAGAAACCTTTGTGTTGGCTACCAACACAGTAGAAACCACCTGCAATAAGTGTTCTTGAACACTTACTGCAGGTGACTCACAATTAAACCCCGCATGTGACATGGGTAATGCCCGCAGAACTTGGGTAATGTTATCTTTGGTCCTGTAATTCACAAGCTCCCTCCCCCTATTTGAAGACCTAATTAAACAAACAAACAAACAAATAAAGTTTGTAAACTCTGAGGAAGTGGCGTTTGATTGGCCGGCCATGTGCTGGGAGTTGCTGTGCTTCGGAAGCAAAAGTGCAAATGGGATTAAACTGGTGTGCAGCTTGGGAGTGCTCCTGGATTTGTCTCTGAGTCTGGATGCCCAGGTCTTGGAGGTGGCCAGGCATGCATTTGCACAATTAAAACTAGTGTCCCTGCTACGTCCATTTCTTGAGAGGTCTGATCTGGTCACTGTGACACATGCCCAAGAGTTACTTCTCTGCTGGATTACTGTAACACACTCTATGTGGGGAATCAGCCTGAACTTTCATGTCCAGCTTTTGCCAGTGGCTGGGAATATTTGGAGATGACTAGGAGCACATATTTGTGTCACATTAGCATCTGAACCATATTTGTTGGGAACTTGAGTGTCTTCTTAGCGCTGGCCCCTAAGCTCTGGAATTCCTTGCCAAGGGAGGCCCATATAGCTATTTAGCATTGGACTGCTTCTAGCTGCCTTGAGCCCTGTTTGCTAGGAAGGCTGGACACAAATCTAATGAACAGTTTCATCCTTATAACATATTGATGTAATGATTGAGGAGAAGGGGCCTCCATGAAATGCGTCTGGAATTCACAAGTGAGCAAGTTCAAAGGTTTCTACTGTGTTGGCTACCAACACAGTAGAAACCTTTGTGTTGGCTACCAACACAGTAGAAACCACCTGCAATAAGTGTTCTTGAACACTTACTGCAGGTGACTCACAATTAAACCCCGCATGTGACATGGGTAATGCCCGCAGAACTTGGGTAATGTTATCTTTGGTCCTGTAATTCACAAGCTCCCTCCCCCTATTTGAAGACCTAATTAAACAAACAAACAAACAAATAAAGTTTGTAAACTCTGAGGAAGTGGCGTTTGATTGGCCGGCCATGTGCTGGGAGTTGCTGTGCTTCGGAAGCAAAAGTGCAAATGGGATTAAACTGGTGTGCAGCTTGGGAGTGCTCCTGGATTTGTCTCTGAGTCTGGATGCCCAGGTCTTGGAGGTGGCCAGGCATGCATTTGCACAATTAAAACTAGTGTCCCTGCTACGTCCATTTCTTGAGAGGTCTGATCTGGTCACTGTGACACATGCCCAAGAGTTACTTCTCTGCTGGATTACTGTAACACACTCTATGTGGGGCTGCTGATGGAAAGTGTCAGGAAACTTCAGCAGATCTAAAATGAAGCAGTCAGATTGCTGACTGGGGCTGATTACAGAGATCACATAACCCCCACCCTCACCCCCATTGCAGCAGCTCCATTGGCTGCCAATCAGTTTCTAGGCACATTTCAATGTGCTGGTTTTAACCTACAAACGGCCTGGGTCCAAGCTCTCTCAAAGACCGGATCTCCCTCTATTAGCCTGCCTGAATGTTAAAATCATCAGGGGAGGCCTTTTTCTCAGTCCCGCCACCCTCACAGGTGTGCTTGGTGGGGATACAGGAGAGAACCTTCTCTGTCGCTGCTCCCAGATTTTGGAATTCCCTCCCCGTACTTGGGTAATGTTATCTTTTGTCCTGTAATTCACAAGCTCCCTCCCCTTCCCTCAGTAAACCAGCTACCTCTATGTGAAGAACTTGGGTAATGTTATCTTTGGTCCTGTAATTCACAAGCTCCCTCCCCCTATTTGAAGACCTAATTAAACAAACAAACAAACAAATAAAGTTTGTAAACTCTGAGGAAGTGGCGTTTGATTGGCCGGCCATGTGCTGGGAGTTGCTGTGCTTCGGAAGCAAAAGTGCAAATGGGATTAAACTGGTGTGCAGCTTGGGAGTGCTCCTGGATTTGTCTCTGAGTCTGGATGCCCAGGTCTTGGAGGTGGCCAGGCATGCATTTGCACAATTAAAACTAGTGTCCCTGCTACGTCCATTTCTTGAGAGGTCTGATCTGGTCACTGTGACACATGCCCAAGAGTTACTTCTCTGCTGGATTACTGTAACACACTCTATGTGGGGCTGCTGATGGAAAGTGTCAGGAAACTTCAGCAGATCTAAAATGAAGCAGTCAGATTGCTGACTGGGGCTGATTACAGAGATCACATAACCCCCACCCTCACCCCCATTGCAGCAGCTCCATTGGCTGCCAATCAGTTTCTAGGCACATTTCAATGTGCTGGTTTTAACCTACAAACGGCCTGGGTCCAAGCTCTCTCAAAGACCGGATCTCCCTCTATTAGCCTGCCTGAATGTTAAAATCATCAGGGGAGGCCTTTTTCTCAGTCCCGCCACCCTCACAGGTGTGCTTGGTGGGGATACAGGAGAGAACCTTCTCTGTCGCTGCTCCCAGATTTTGGAATTCCCTCCCACGGGAGGCCAGGCTGGCCCCATTTTTGCTGTCCTTTCGCAAGCAGGCAAAGATCTTTCTTTGCAGGAAAGCCATCCCTCAGTAAACCAGCTACCTCTATGTGATTTTTATTTTAATTCTAAGATGGACTGTTACGCATTATCACTTTGACTGGATTTTTAGTACTACTTGTGTTTTCCTTTTTTGTATTTTCCATAACTCAGAGTGGCATTTAAAAATAATAATTGCATACTTATTGTTCTTAGCTCTAATATTGCCTTTGAATGATGTAAGATGCCTCTTTACTCATTGTTCTCAGCTTTAAACATTATCTTTTAATTATGTTAACAACTGTTGTATACTCATTGTTTTCAGCTTCAAATATTCTCTTCCAGTGTTGGGTTCTTTTCAAGGAGAAAGGCAGCCAAATATTCTCTTCCAGTGTTGGAAGCTGCCTTGGGTTCTTTTCAAGGAGAAAGGCAGCTAAAACAAACAAACAAACAAGCAAACAAACAAACAAATAAATAAATTTAAGTTGCAGTTGTCCAACTTTTATGTAGTGAAAATGTAGCCTAGAATACTTGTAGGGCTTTATGATTATAACTGTTCTGACCTGCTCTTTCTTTGCTCCTGTTTTCTCTAGGTATTATTACATTGCTTTCAAGGCGCATGAAACTCCTCTTCCCAGCCAAGAAAGCTGTGTTGCGATTCTGCAAAAAGCCAAGTTAGACAAATGGGCTCTTGGCAAAACAAAGGTAGAATAAATTTGGTTCCACTTCTCTTAGAGCAAGAGATACCATCCGTGTGCCATCTTCTAATATCTAGCTGCAAAGAAGATGATGACATGGGATGATGGTGGGATAGGGAGAAGATTCTACTCTCTAGGACATTTCTCTCACACATATGTCATGAGCTCCAACATTTGAAAAACAGGCAGTATGAGTTCATCATACAGTAGTTGACCTGTCTCGTATCCTCTGTAACCTGCTAGTTTTTTATGTTTCAGTCTGAGTTGGTAAGGAAACCAAATGCATTCAACAAGCAATTTTGTTTCATATGTATGTACGTATTTGTCACTATCTTTCTGTTTTTATGGGCAGTCAAGCCAAAACCAACTTTCAGTTATCCTAATAGGGCTTTCGAGGTAAGTGAGGTGTTTAAGGAGTGGTTTTCCCAGTTCCACACACATACCTCGTATGAGTGTCCATGGCCAAACAGGGAATCAAACCCAGGTCCCTCACTCTATCCGCTACACCACTATTTCTAGCTAGTTCTGTCTAGTTCTAGCCACATCATGGGAAACAGGGTAAGTTACAATCAATAAAATAATGTTTTTAAAAAGCTAAAATAACTTGAACTCTTTAAAATGTTTTACAACTCTTTAAAACCATTTCACAGTTCAAGTAAAACATAAAAAAAAAACTTGACAGTTTAGAAGGCAAGTCATAATCTCATGAGGCCTTGAACATTTTGCATAAGCAGCAGGAGTTTTAACCGGGCATAGAAATAAAAGCAACATCCTTGTCAGTTATATCCCCAAAGAGGAGAGACTTTATATTTCTATGAAGATGATAACGGAGCAGGACCTGCTCTTACATTACACACAAGGAGGTGGCTGCATTATGAACCAGCTGGTTTGAGGTGTCTGGAAGAGCAGGAAACTGTTAGTTATTTCGTTTATTTTAATGATATTTTTATAACCGTAAGGGGGAAGCAATAGTTGTGAGATGTTCTGCCTCAGCTGTCCAGGTCATTTGACCAGCTTAGGGTACTATGAGCCTTGACCACAAGGGAAGGATGCTATGCCCTGCTTTGCCTCTGCCAGCAAAATCCCTTGGGCCAGTCCTGGCACAGACGTATGTGCCTTACTTTCAATGTGCACCCTGCCTTCATTGCAATTATAAACCTCACAGTCTATCTCAGTGCAAAGTGCACACTGGGGAGGAAAACTCTATGTTTGGTTCATTCCTCCCCCCCCCCCCCCAATGTAAACATTCTACCAGTACATGAAAACACATGAACCTGATTGGAACAAACTGAAGATTCATGTGATCCATCATCCTGCTTGAATGAGTGACCTCTGGGGAGCAGAACAGGAAAGCAAAAGCTTTCCCCCGACTTTGGGGTGTTCTCCTCTCTCCACCCCAAATCGGTAATCAAAGAACAGGGTCAAAAAGTCTGGACTGAAGCTCTCATAACCTCTCAGCCAGCATGGCCAGCGGCTGGGAATTGTATTCCAAGACCAGGATCCTATTAAGTCCTTGGACTGACAAAAGAAACCCATTCATACATCTCAGAGGAGGCAGTTCCCTTCCCCCCCTCCCCACCACGCACCTGCCTCCAGTCCCCCAGCAGATCTAAAACTCTGCATCAAATAGCGGAGGTGTGTGGAGGCTCCATGGGAAGGGGAGGTCTGTCATCTCCAAGACCGTTTGACCGCCATCCTCTGTCAGCAGAAGGACCCAATGGGATTCTGGCCCCAAAGAAGATTTTCCAAGTCCTGTTCTTAATGTGGCCTGCAGCTGTAGCAGTGGCAGAGAGAACTGGAGGGACGATTTTTTTAAAAAAAACAATTAACTAAACAGAAAAGATACAGCCTAATTAAAACAAAGAATGACATACATAAAGAACAAATCTGGAAGACTACTTAATCCATACAATAATACCATTATAATTATATTTATAACCCAATGTGCTCCCCTGCAACCTGGATGATGGGAGGTATTCTGTTTTCTGTCTATTGGCAAAGCCCCATTTCCCTTCCAAAAATACAATGACTCTTGCAGAGGTGCACAAACCTTCCCCTTTGTTCATACAAAATCAGTAAATTCTCCCCATATATCTTTAAAGACATTCGTATTTATCAGATCTTTCCTTACTTCAGTATTACACATTAACTTGTCATTAATAACTATAATCCAAACTTTTCATTCATTTATTTGAAGATTGTACTTAACTTTCCTATTCTGTGCTATTATTAATCTATCAGCTGCTAATAAATTTGTAATAAATTATTTCATTGCCCAGTTCCATTGTTCACTCTCAAATACTGATAAAAGTGCTATTTTTGGGGGGACATGTTTTTAATTGCAACTTTAGTATTTCATTTATTTCTTTAAAAGCTAACTTTTTAGTTAGCTAAAAATAAGTTAAATTTTTGATATATTTTCACATTCCTGCCACATACAGAAATAGATGCCTGCATCCTGAGCACATCTCCAACTTAAATTAGAATATTTATAATCCATATAGTTCAATTTCACCTGCGTTAAGTGCCATCTCCAGACTAACTTATAAAAGTTTTCTTTTACTCTGATAGACAGATGTTTTAAACTGTTCTTATTCCATATATTTTTTCACGTCTAAGTACTTATTCTTCTCTCAGGTCAACTTCCCATCATGTTTTTGAAGCCTGGTGGGCCTCTACATCTATCAATATCTTAATCCCCCACTTACTATCCCTTTCATTCTTTCATTCTCTTCTTTTTCCTTCTGTGGGAGATGTTGGATTGTTGCAATAGCAAAGAAAGATGGAGGAACATTTTATTTCACCTTCTCCCTTCTTGGTACATAAAATACTGCTCTGGCCAGATCTCTGAGGAAAAAAAAATCTTGCTATGCTCAGACAAGGAAAACAAAGAAATATACTTTTTGCAGAGTTCCTGCCATCCATACTGAGGGTCCTGGGTAAATTGGAAACATCTCATTTGAGAACAACTATAGTTTTCAACATTTTGCTGTTCATTCCTCCAATCGCCATCCAGATGTACAGTATTTGGTTGTGCCAGCTTGTATTGTAATGTTTGCCCCTCATTTTTTTCCAGGTGTTCTTGAAGTACTATCATGTTGAACAATTGAATTTGTTTCTGCGTGAAGTTATAGGCCGGGTGGTTATCATGCAGGCTTATACCAAAGGATGGCTTGGGGCTCGGAGGTACAAGAAACTCAAAGAGAAAAGGATTATCTGTGCCATTGCCATACAGTCAGGTAAACACTCCGAATTCCTCTAAGTCTTAGGTGATCTCAGAGTAGCAAACTGTTCAACTGCATGCAAACTGCCTGTCCATTTTCCTAACAGCTAAATGTAGAATCCAAATAACATGTGGGGAGAGCTTTGTCTTTGGTTAACTGACACTAGTGATGCAATGGATCCATTGCTAACTTATCAACTTTTGTAATTGCTAATGCAATAAAAATTTTCATAGGTTTTGCTTCTAAACTAATGAAGAGCAGAGCGGTAAAATTCAAGGCTGAGCGGCAATGTAAAAACTTCTGCTGCTTCTTTTTGGGGGGGGCAGAGAAAAAGTCTGCACATCTGCATTTCAGATGATTTCAGTATCTGTTAAGCTTAGAACATCAAATGATGTCACTTTTATATGCAGAATTATAACTATTAGGCCTTCTGGGGCATCTGTCTTAGACCTGATCCCTACTGTGCTTTTGATAGGAGGGGATCATCGCAAACTGGTTGGTGGTCTAGTGAATCCTCTAGATCCCCCCCCCCATCTCCCCATGCCTCTGCAACCATCCCTGTCCTTTCCTTTACAAGACTTGGTTTCTTGCTTCCTGTGTGATTTCGCCTCCAGCTTTCAAGATGCTGTGCTTTCTTTTCTGGCTTGGCTTTCAGTGTGCATGTGTCTGTGTAGGAGAGGAGGATGGGGGAAGCACACCTTTCCTCCATCTGTTTGGCTTCCTTGCTAATAGGAAACTGCATGCTTCTAAGCAAGAGGCTTTCCAAAACAAATGGAAAGCACTAAATTCTGTCCCAGATATAAAATTATATATATATAAAGTAAACTAAAGGGTTTGCGGGAGGGGCAGTCAAAAAGGTCCGGGAACCTTATAAAAGTGATGCAAAGCGAGACATCATCTGGGTTTCAGGGAAATGTCCATTACTATCAGTGTCTCTAACTGGGAATGTACAGTGGTACAAACACTCCATTTGGAAGAGCTCTCCTTTTGAAGAAACAGTGCAACCAGGTTCTGGATATCAAATGGGAAGGGGGGATTCTCTTGTGTTTTGCGTCAGGCAGCCAAATGTCCAGACTAAGAACAGCCCATGAGGAGCTTTTCCTGACAGGGCAAGCACCCTTCCCAGAGTGACACAGCACAGGTGTCTCCAGGTGGTTGCCTCTCGGACACAATCTAGCTTTGCCGTGAGGGTTTGTGAGGTTGAAAGCAGTATGGGAGCCATTGCGTCACTTTCAGTCTGAAGGGGGAAGGCTGGATGAAGCTTGCAGACTGTTATTAGCTAACCCTGCTTTGGTCTGCCTCTGCAGCACACATTTGCCATCCTTCCTCTTTGAGATGGGACGAGTGGGTTAAAGACAAAGCATCCCTGTTTAAATAGGGACAAAGCAGCCCACAACAGCCGGGACTACTCCTGGATGCTTTTCGTTGTGTCATCGCCACATCTGACTCAAAGTGCGGCGTAGACAGATGTGAATTCGGTTCATGGCCTTCATTCAGATCCCATGGGATAAAACTGTTGTGTTAGAGCACTGGTTCTTAACCTTGGGTTACTCAGGAGTTTTGGACTGCAACTCCCAGAAGCCTTCACCACCAACTGTGCTGGCTGGGGTTTCTGGGAGTTGCAGTTCAAAAGCATCTGAGTAACAAAGGTTAAGAACCACTGTGTTAGAGCAGTGGTCTCCAACCTTGGGCCTCCAGATGTTCTTGGACTCCAACTCCCAGAAGCCTTCACCATCACCTCTGCTGGCCAGGATTTCTGGGAGTTGAAGTCCAAGAACATCTGGAGGCCCGAGGTTGGGGACCACTGTGTTAGAGAGCATCCGAAGTGGTGCTACAACATAGTTCTGCCCTGCCCTTTGTTGTCTCAAGAGGCAGTTGACATATTTCTGACAGAAATACTATTTACTTTGGGCAGGACTTTCCAAAGAAGTTATTATGTTAGTTCATCGCAAAAATAAAGGGAAAAGATAAAAAAATAGCAAAATATTGTGGCACTTTAAAGGCTAACAGATCTATTTCGGTGTGAGCTTTCAGTGTGATCAAAATCCACTTCTTTGGATACAGGGAGTGCAAAAATATATCCTCCAATATTTATTCCGTGGTGATGAGAGTCATGAAGATACAGGTCATAGAAAAGGTAATAATGGTTAACATAGCAATGGAACTATCAAGCTGTTAAAAGTTGGTTATATAAACAAATTCCAGTGCATCTTGAAGGGTTTCCATAGAGATCAAGGCTTCTTAGTGCACTGCACCAATTAATAACTCAGCTTTCTGCAATATCTTATGGGTGGGAAATATTTATCTCCCGTAACAGACTCACACCTCTGTCCCATAAAGAACTCTTAGCATTCCTATGACTGCCAAATCTTCCTAGCTTGTCAATCTGGCTAGGATCTTCTAATTAACAACTAGATAATCCCATTCCTGTGTGAATGAACCATTGTCACTTGGCCTGATCACTGTATCCTCATCTAGACATTAACCTTACTACCATCGAATGAATATAGGGGACACTCCGTGAGTCGGAAGAAGTGAATATGGCCCATTAGAGCTCACGCTGAAATCTGTTGCTCTTTAAAGTACTAAGATAGGTTTTTGGGGGAGGCTTTTCTTTTTCCTCTTTACTTTTTTCCAGTTTATTTTATGTAAGAAAATGTGGCTTGAAATGTGTTACTAAGCTGGCTTTTTCGTTTTGAAAAAAAAAAAAAGGCTTCATCCAAGCGCTGCAATACTGGGTCGGATGTTCTGAATTATTTGTGCATAATTTAAAAATGTAAATCATACAAAGGGCAACAGCCACTATTTCTCTTCCCTGCGAGGAAGGTGGCGAATCTTATCAAAGAGCACACACTGTGAAGAAAAGATGGGATGAATTGTTTGAAGTTTTAGGGAGCTGCTTCACCAGGCTCAGCCATGGGCCTGCATCTGCAAGCCACTGGAGGGAGAGAGCACTTGGGTGGGACGGGGTGGGGGGAAAGTGCTGCAGCTCAACACTGCCGTGTGCGTCTGACTCCACAACCTTTCCTTTCAGTGCATGTAATTCACAACACATGGCTTTGTATTTTTAGCCTGGAGAGGATATGATGCACGCAGGAAGTTCAAGGATATAAAGAACAGAAGAACTGATGCTGCTATTCATATTCAAGCAGGTAATTAAAACAATATTTTCACAGCTGACACCTATTTTACCATGGATAACTTCCCATGTCACTGTTTGTGTCTGACAGAAATAACGCCCAGCCAAAACAAAAGGCTGTTAAATGCGGCCTTGTCCCGTTCCATCTTTCTTGTTGTGCTTTATGTTAAGATACTTTCAGACCTCGGCGAAAAACTCTCTCTGACCAGGGCCCAGAAAATTCTTACTATTTTACGATTATGTAATCAATCTGTCTGTTGATTCCTTTGTCTAATTATATCTTGAAGCCATGATTGTGCCATGGTACGCTCGTTTGTCTTAGAGATGCCACCAAATGCTGTATTTGTATCCTTTTAGAAAGCAGGATAGAAGGCTGAGGGGGTTTGGTGTTTGTGAGTGTGCATATAAACATGGGGATGGATGAGCTCTGAGGGGAGGGTGTTGCGTCACACCCCAAAACTCTTGAGGACTACATCTCCCTTCACTTCCAAAGACCACAGAGGGCTGCCTCTGTAACCACTAGTGGGAACTGCCCCCTCCCCAGATTTTACTTCTAGAAACAATGGTTTTTTGTTCGAAGCAAGCAGATTGGGTCTTCCAGGAGACTTTGAGGAGTGCTCATCAGCTTGTAAATGAGGTATGCGGGAAGCATCTTGTTTCAAAAGAAAAAAAGCCACGACCAAGCTGTACAAAAAGCTGCATGCCCCTTTTGTGGTCCGGTGGCACAGGAGGTGTACTTCCTCCAAGAAAATGTCATAGCTTAATGGCAGAGCACATGCAGAAGGTTACTTATACGCAGAAAGTTCCAAATGCAATCCTGCCTCCAGTTAGCAGGATCCTGGCAGAACTGAAAGTCCATCAGCTTCATTTTGAGAGAACACAGCTTATTAGCACGACACGCATGGCATGAGAGGATCAGAATCATGTCCATTTACACCCTCCCAGCAAGAAAAAAATTTTTTTTGAGAGGGCAGCCTTGCCTCAAAGAGACACATTTCTTGTCTAAAACACACCACGTTTTAGCAAAAATAAGTAAATAAATAATTGCAATTCTTTTCCCCCCTTCTTTTTAAAAATGGGGATAATCTTTTAAAAAACTTCCCACTCCCTTCCAGTTCTATTTGGAACAGCTGGTGCAGTCCACAGTGTTCCTGTGGCCAGCAACATGCCCCCTGATCCACAGAGCCTGCCTGCCTGTTACGTGGAAAATCCTAGTTCAGCCCCTGGCATCTTGAATTCTGCTGAAGGGCTCACCAGTGATGAAAGAAAACTCAAGTTGAGCTCCTCAGGAAGAAGCACCACTCAGAGCAGATGCATGTGAGCTAGCTGGAGAAATACTCTCACCTATTCTCAGGTGGCTTCTCATGTTCCTAACCTGGTGGAAAAAAAATGGTGTGAGAATGATGTGGAAAACCCTCACTGGATGTTAGCCCAGCCACAAAAATGTGATGTATGCCTGGAAAAGGACCCAACTAAGAGTTAAACAAAACTGGCCTTACTAAACTGAACAGGCTAGTAGGATGGTGGCGGTGGTGGAGGAACTGCTTTGAGAGAGCGAAGTGGGGTGGGACAAGAACCCTTTTCCTGTTGCTGCTTCTCTCTTCCAAACATTTCCTCTACCGCAATGGTTCCCAACCTTTTGCGAGTTGCAACCCCCATTTATAACAGCCATGTCACCTGTGATTCCCTCTCCCTATACTTTGTATAAAAAGGCAATTTATTGGAGTCACCATATCCCTTCTCAGAATGTAGTGGTGTCTTTCCCTTCAATTCTGCTCCAAAAGGTCAAGGAAGAAATTCGTCTCTCTCTCCCTTCAATTCTGCCCCAAAAGGTCAAGGAAGAAATTATTTAGCAAAGGCTAAACCCATGTAAGGCAACCTGTGGACCTTCCAGAAAGCACTGGGTGACCCCCTCCTTGGTGGTCCCTATCCCCAGATTGGAAAACACGGCTTTATGCCTACTTTCTTCTACAAACCTGGCCAAGCCATTTCCGCTCGCCAGCAGGTTATCCGCTGGAGGAGGTACAGATTCCAAGGGAGGAATGGGAGGCAGGACCAAGGGTCTCTTGCCTCGGTCGCTCTGTCCACCCTGAATTGCTCTCTCCGCAAGCCATTTGTGGTGGCAGCCTCGAAAGAGTGGAGTACGTGCATTCATTTGCACATCGTGTTTCTTTTGCCCCAGTCCCCAAGAAACATAAAGCTAGCCTGATGCCCTCACATGGGGTGGAGGAATGTGTCCCCATTGCCAGTGTTGAAACAAAGACTCAGCTCCCAGTTTGTTCCATTTTGAAGGCAGAAAGGGAAGGGCATCTGATCGCCTACCACAGGCAACAATGTTATCTTCAGCTTAGCCTGTAAAAACCTTTTTTCAAGATTGTTTTTTTTTAAGGGATTTAGAAGCATTCCTGTAAGCCAGTTCACACTTTACAGGGAATAGAATACTCTCTTTTTTGGTGTTTTGATTTACTCTAGATATAAAATGATTATTTTGTACTAGCGGGGAAACGCTCGCAAAATCTGGCATGTTTATCACTTGGTTGTTGAAGAACCGGCTGCTGTGCCCCAGGGCTCTTTTCCTCGTTAGACACTCCGGCAATGAGGTTTGGTTATTTTTCATTTGGGTAGCCAGGGCTTGCCCTCCTTGCCTTTTCCTTAGCACTGCACAAGGTGAGTAATACCAAAAGTAGTTCTGGGGAAGATGACTTGTTATTTAAACAACCTTGGCATTCATAAGTCGGACTTGCAATTACATATAGCCAGCCCATAATACTCTTTTCTGAAATGCCCCATTCCATCAGTTGGCCCCTCTTCCAACAGACTTGCCATGCTGTCAGCTATTGAACATGCTCTTTCCCCTAGTGGTGTGCGTCTCGGAGTTCTGGAATGGAAACCTTCTGTGTTTAGTACACGTCTTACTGTTCAAATGGAAACCTCAGTACCTGTTGCGACTAAGTCTTGCTGCAGGGCTTTTGCAGTCATTTGAGTGTTTTTCTCAACCTGCCTTCTCAGAAATCTGGTTGCAGCTGCTGATAACTTCCTTTTTCTGCCCCATCCAGGTACGTAATGTAACCACTGTCCCTTTAACTTTAAACTTATGCTTCCAACGGTGTCTCTAGGAACATTCAGTGCCTTCACTATCTTTTTATATTCTGTTCCGTGCTGGTGAAGGGCAATGATCTCTTCTCTTAACCTTTTGGACCATTCTTTTGACTTAGCCATATTTCTAACAGGATAACATCCCTGTTGAAGTGCTGAAGTGCTGTAAAGAGACCATCACCACCGAGCTGTATGAAATCTTTTGTCTCTGCTGGATGGAAGGTGGAGTACCACAGGACATGAAGGATGCAAACATTGTCACATTGTATAAGAACAAAGGAGACAGGGGTGACTGCAATAACTACCGTGGCATCTCTCTTCTTAGCATTGTAGGGAAGCTGCTTGCCCGTGTTGTGCTGAAGAGGCTCCAGGTGCTTGCAGACAGACTCTATCCAGAAACACAGTGTGGATCTTGAGCTAACAGATCCACCACTGACATGGTATTCTCACTCAGACAGTTGCAGGAGAAATGTAGGGAACGACAGTCACTCTTTGTGGCCTTCATAAATCTCACAAAAGCCTTTGATTTGGTTAGCAGGAATGGCCTTCTAAAAATCCTTCTCAAGATTGGATGTCCACCTCAACTCCTTAACATCATCAGGGCCTTTTATGCGGAAATGAAGGGCACTGTAGTTTTTGATGGCAACATCAGGTCCCTTGGACATCTGAAGCGGAGTGAAACAGAGCTGTGTCCTCACGCTGACTCTGTTTTGGATCTTTTTTGCTGTCATGCTGAAGCATACCTTTGGAACTGCAACAGAAGGTGTCTATCTCCGGACTAGATCAGACGGAAAGCTCTTTAATCTCTCTAGATTGAGAGCGAAGACCAAAGTCCTGCTGAAATGGATGCAGGAGTTCCTCTTTGCTGATGATGCAACTGTTGTTGCCCACTCTGCTGAAGAGCTCCAACAACTCATGAATCATTTTAGCAAGGCCTGCCAAGACTTTGGACTAACAATCAGCCTGAAGAAAGCACAAGTCATGGGCCAGGGCGTGGTCTCACCTTCCTCTATTACCATATCCACGGAAGAATTGGAGGTTGTTCATGAGTTTGGGTACCTTGGCTCAACAATCTCTGACACTGTCTCCCTAGATGTCGAGCTGGATAAACGCATTGGCAAAGCAGCTACCATGTTCTCTAGACTCACAAAGAGAGCATGGCTTAACAAGCAACTGATGGCATATGCCAAGATCCAGGTCTATAGAGCCTGTGTCCTGAGCACACTCCTGTACTTCAGTGAGTCCTGAACCCTTTGTGCATGGCAGGAGAGGAAACTGAAGACGCTCCATATGCGTTGTCTCCGATGCATTCTTGGTATCCACCTGGCAGGACAAAGTTCCAAATAGAGTAGTCCTAGAATGAGCTGGAATTGTTAGCATTTATAGGGACGTGATGCGCTGTGGCTTGAACCGCAGAAGCCTCTGTGCTGCAAGGTCAGAAGACCAGCAGTCATAAGATCGAATCCACACGCTGGAGTGAGCTCCCGTCACTTGTTCCAGCTCCTGCCAACCTAGCAATTCAAAAGCATGCAAATGCAAGTAGATAAATAGGTACCACCTTGGTAGGAAGGTAACAGCGTTATGTGTCTAAGTCACACTGGCCATGTGACCAAGGAAAACTGTCTACAGATAAACACTGGCTCTATGGCTTGGAAACGGGGTTGAGCATTGTGCCCTAGAGTCGGACACAACTGGACTAAATGTCAAGGGGTACCTTTACCTTTACCTTTTATACAGTACTGAAACAGCGACGCCTACGTTGGCTTGGGCATGTCGTGAGAATGGCTGACGGTCTGATTCCAAAAGATCTCCTGTATGGAGAATTAGTGCAGGGAAAGCAGCCCAGAAGGAGACCACAGCTGCAATACAAGAATATCTGCAAGCAGGATCTGAAGGTCTTAGGAATGGACCTTATGG